ATTCACAGAAAATGTGTAATTTTGTAGCAATCGTCACATAGTGGGTGTATGTACATCAAACTGTATGTCACATTTCATTATACCTCCGTTTTACATGGGGTATATTCCCAATCCAAAGTATATTGTGCCCTCGTAAAAAAAAAAAAGGTCAGCATGGGCACGATTTCCAAAGAGCCCTCCTCCCCCGGCTGCTATTCACATACACATATAGGCTGGCCACGAACATAGTTACTTTTGCCCCTCTCCAGTGTTCAGTAACCCCACAAAAACCTCAGCTATTCACTGCCAACCAGCATCAAGTCTGGTCAGAGTACAGGGTTGTCAACATCTTGGAAGAGTGGTTGAAATCAAATTGTTTTCTGTGAAATTGTACTGTGCCACGCGAAATAAATTCAGTTTCTCTCTTGCTACCTTTGTGAAGATATGTTCACTGCCATCAGCACCACCAACATCTTGGAGGCAGTTTAAATAAAACAGGGCTTTTCCTGAAAACAGGGGGCGCCAACACAGAAATAGGTGTTTCCTTTTCGGTATTCATCACTTCTTTGGATTTTAAAGATTATAATTTTAGGTCACTGTCTCTCGCATTACGCCCTTGTGTTTGTGCTGAATGCCATTCATGCATCATTGGGCATCGGTGAAATGCATTTCAAAGGTGTACTGTAAAAGACTGGATTGTTGGCTTCGGGAACAATGGCATTTTCTTTCTTTGCTTTTGAATCATTATCGTTCAAGTCCTCTCTTTTGCAATTGCATTCTGAAGTTTGCGGGTATTTCCATTGCATTGCCTGGGTATTCATCACTCCTTTGGATTTTAAACATTATAATTTTAGGTAACTGTCTCTCGCATTACGCCCTTGTGTTTGTGCTAAATGCCATTCATGCATCATTGGGCATCGGTGAAATGCATTTCAAAGGTGTACTGTAACAGACTGGATTGTTGGCTTCAGGAACAATGGCATTTTCTTTCTTTGCTTTTGAATCGTTATTGTTCAAGTCTTCTCTTTTGCAATTGAATTCTGAAGTTTGCGGGTATTTCCATTGCATTGCCTGACCATCGAAGCGACCAGTTGCTTTTGGCTTCTTTACTTTACCAAGAGACATTTAATCATCGCAGCTTTACTAACCACACTTTCAGATTTGGCAGATAATACAGTGATCCCAACAAACCAAACCCATCTCCCAGGACATAGCGGCCAGACGGACAGTTGCAAGTTTTTGAAAAATTAAACATGCATACTGCTGTGTGACTCCACAAATGCGTGTTTGACCACTGTCTGAACCTCAGACATGTTTGTGTGTGTCCTGCAGCTGTCTGTGAAAATAATGAAGCAGATCTTGCTTGGTCTTTCATTGACTATTTCTTTGCGTGGCTGCTATTGTTATCCCCTCTCTAGTTCATTGTGATTGACAAGAACACCACCTTTGCTTCACCTAGTTTGACAGTGGCATGCAGAGGTGCACCCATGTGGAAAAAAAACAACAGCATGGGAGGAGTTGGAAGGAACATGGCAGCTTTGGCCTTTGACGTGAACTCTTGCCATCCATAGCTGTGCATGTCATGGCTGAGTGGCAGTGAGCAAGCCAAAGCTTCCATGTCAGCCAAACCCCAGGCCAAGAGAGTAGGTCAGAGCTGTTCTACTCATCTTGGAGGCAAAGAATGGAAAAAATAGGGCTTGTTTTCCTTTTCCCATTGCCAGGTCTTTTAAGAAATGGACACTCCTGCTATGCAACATCAAGTCTGGTTGGCTTTCAGGAGGAGTCTGAGATGAGTGGTGTGACGAAACCATATCCTGCTCAGATGTATTAAAACCCCGGTTTGGAACTCTGTGTCGATGAATCAATCGTTTTTTGTTTGTTTTGTTTTTTTTAGCACCCTTTCTCTAAGCAGTGCAGATTCATATAAATCAACTGCATGATTACACTTGATGCTGTTGGCCTGCAGAGGAACAAAATTTGACTGAAGCTGACATGAGGTTTTGCATGTCCTTGGTACAATTGGTGCACTTCCTGCTCAGGCCCAGGCTTCTGCCAAGCATGTACCACTGTGTGACAAATGACTCTTGATGACTCATGTTTCAAGTTAAAAATGCATTTGATTTCTCAAGTTATGTAGCATCAGTGACACTGCAGTAATCTCATTGCCCCGGCGGCTTTTGAATTTCCTCTCACAGTGCCAACATCTTCTTGCCTTCATGCTATAACTCGCAGGCAGAAGCCGGCAATAAGATAATGATGATAATATCTTTAAGTCTTTGGAACACCGGACCGTCAGTGAGATCTGATGACCTCATTATTTCTCATTAGTTTCCCAAAGGCACCTCGATGAAGCCTTGAAAGGTGGTCCAGAGGTTAATCCCACTGGGAGAATGAACCCGCTCCCCTGTATCTGTTTCTGGAGCTGCTGAACAATCCACTGACTTGGCCAGCAGACTTGCTGGTGGTCACTGTGGGAGATTTTCCAGTGTCAAAGATAGCCTACATTGTCCTAGATAGCCTTTTGCCTGATAACTGGACAACGGGACAGTGTTCTGTCATAATGATCTCTTCCCTACTCATTCCATTCTCTTTTGACCTCTGACTCTCAAGCTCTACCTCTCGGCATTGTAAATCCCAGGGAGGCTCATGGATGTGCCATCCACCTCATCCATCTTGTGGGGGGACATTCTTACCTATCTTTTATTTGGGAAAACAAACTGTCCAAGCACTTTGGTTTTACATCAATGAAATGCAGATAGTTTTTTTTTTTTGTTGTTGTTGTTTGATATTGTTCAAACTTCAAGTTGAAACGATTGTGTAAACTTGTCCAGCTTTAATTGACTGTCAATACCTTCAGATTGGACATCAGGCTGCGAGTGCTGGAGAGTACTGCCAGATGTTCTCTTCCTTCTTATTATTCCTCTTTTTTTTTGTTTTAGGGAGCTGAAAGTCTCTCTGGTGATGACAGGCCTGGGTGGTGTGAAGGGTAAAAGACAGTGTTGTGCTTTCTAATTGCTTTGTGATTTATTAGCGTCCCAAATAGTCTCTGAATAGTGCTCTGTTTGTATCAAACATGCCTGATGTAGTTTCATTCAGGCAGTTGATGAGTAGCAGAGAGGGAGAGATATTTTCTTACTTTCTTTAAGTTTACACATTTCTTCTCAAATCTGGCTCTGCGTTATTGTGCGGTTACACATAGCATTGTATTGAAAGAAAAAAAAGTCACTGTATATGTGGAATTATTTCAAATTAGAATTTCAAACACAACAAAACAGTATGCGAACATGAAATCACCAAAGATGTTCTTGATTTACACTCAGTGTTGCAACACATTTCAGTATGTCATGAACCTTTGTCACACAAATCAATTGTCAAACCATATTTGATTGCTTTGTGTGTTTGCCCATGTGTGTGTCCATGGTTTGTTTCGACTGCTGTGGAAAGCGTGAGACCAGAGTCAGTGGGCTGAGGCCATACTTTAGGGTTCAAAGTAATGCGGGGAGGGACCCCCTCGTTTTGGAGGAATGTTGAGGAGGACTGATGGTTAGCTGAAGATGGTGTAATTAAGGGGTGTGATTGTGAGAGCCTTCCTTTTCCTGGGCCCTGTATGGCTCACAGATAAATGTGCAACCGTCTGCGTCTATTGCTTTCACATATGGAAAATCACAGTTACAATGTTTAAAAGCTCCAAGAAACTCACAGGCTTATGCTCAGTTGCACCCACTTACTTATAAGACACAAGGATCGGATGGCATTGTACCTGACTGGTCAACATCATCATTTTTGCGTGTCATGAAAGAAATACAAAGAACACGACGCACCATTAAAAGCACGTCGTGAATTATGACAGGACGGCAACTCAAAGCTGCTTTGTGTTTTTCTTGGCAGATACTGAACGCAACAAGCACCGTCTTGCAATAGTCTTCTTTGCCGCATGGCCTGCACACCGCACAGACAAAAACACACAAGCATATTGCATGTGATGCTGTGTTTTGTGACCAATTACATCAGTGTGTCTTTTGCAAGAGTGTGTCCATTATTTTCCTCACCCCCTGTCAGATTCAATCCTTTTCCTTTTTGCCTCTTTGAATACTAAAAGATCCACCCAGTGAGCCAATGTAGATGGAAATTGGCAGTTATAGAAACTGACATTGTTGGCAGCAGTGGCACATAATTCAGAGCCCAAACGCATGCATTCATCCTACTGCAGCATACTGGTAGTTCAAAACCTGAACTTCCTATTAAGCCTTCTTTCAGTGACAGATGCATACACACACACACACACACACACACACACACACACACACACACACACACACACACACACACACACACACACACACACACACACACACACACACACTTTGGCATACTCTCGTAAACTGTAACAAAGAGGTCGAGAGAGAGAGACTGCAAATTGTTGGGAAGTTAATCACTTCTATGCAATAACAAGGATTTAATAAGAAGAACTTTAATTTGTGTTGACAAAGACAAAGCTGACAGTCGGCCTTTGTTTACAGTAGTATGTACCACTTCCTTGTTGAACACAATTTTGTTGGTTTGATGTTGCACTACTTACTATATTCACAATCACATTCTGGCACACATTCCCCATGGAGGGTATGCAAGCCAGATCTATGTTTACTGTTCCGAATCATACTGTTGAAATCTGAACTGTAGTGTTCTGTACAGAATTATTTACGGACACTTGACTTTTATGTCTTGACAGTTAGATGCCGGTGCAATCTGCTGATGAACTGTAGGTCAGGTGGACATGCAGGACATGGTCGAGGTTTCTGCTTATCTCTAAACCATTTGTTTGCTCTCTCGAAAGAAGACAAATAGCTCCAGATTTATTGTGCATTGCTGGGAAATGATTCACAAGGCACTGTCAGCTTTTTCTGAGGCACAGACTATGTAATCCTTTGACGAACCCCACTCCCCAAACCCTAAAACTCTGGATCAACTCCAGATGAGAGGACTGATCAGATGGACCCTGATGTCTCTCCTTCTCTCTCCAGGGTGCAGGATAGAGAACTGCGAGTCGTGCTTCAGTAAAGATTTCTGCACCAAATGCAAGTCAGGTTTTTACCTCAACAAAGGGCGATGCTTTGACAAGTGCCCAGAGGGCTTTGCTCCACTGGAGGACACCATGGAGTGTGGAGGTAACAGCACAAGTATGAAAAACATGCATGTTTGCATCAAAGTTTTAAATATGCTGTATGCTCTTGAATTTTCTTCTCTAAATCCTAAAAACAAGCATACCACAAACAAGAAGAGCATGTCATCCTAGTAAAGCCAGTACTAAAGCTTGACCTTGGGTCTGTGGATTGCTTCAAAATGACATTCTGCTGTGGTTTCCCCTGCGCATCACTATGTGCGTTTACAGATGGCTGTGAGGTCGGGCAATGGAGTGACTGGGGAGCTTGCACCAGAAGAAACAAAACCTGCGGCTTTAGGTGGGGTCTGGAGACCCGGACGCGGCACATTGTAAAGAAACCACCCAAGGACACAATACCGTGTCCCACCATTGCTGAGTCCCGCAGGTGCAAAATGGCCATGAGACACTGCAGAAAAGGTAGGGATGTCACACGGCGGTGTTGAAATGCTTTGTACAGCCTCCACATTCGATTAAAAGCTTACACTGCAAATATAAACGAAGACAAACGACTTTGAATTCCAGACACAGACCTTGTCCACCATCTGACCGTTCCACCTGTAACATGAATCCTCGACCCGATTTATTTTATTTTTTCTTTGGCTACACTATTTAGGTTTTCTGTGGCTTTTCCATGCATGAAATTTCAGTTATTTCCCATTGCGGGCTTCAAGAAAGTTTTCTCTCTGAGGTATACCCCCCCGACCCCACTCTTCCACCATCCTTAAGGATGATCTGCAGGTTACCTCAATGGTCGCCTCTGTTTCCACTCGTCAGTTTGAGAGATATTTGTGGTGCACAAAGTAAGCCTGTTGGGTCATTAAATGGGAAGTCAAATCTGAAGCAGTCATTTTTCAATGGCTCAAGGCACTATTTGGTGTGATGGCTTCAGTTTTCATTGCTTTGAAAATACATGTGCTAAACCTTATTGTACTCCCATGTACACTTTGCATGAGGATAAGACAAGTCTCAATATTTAATTCGGCCAAATAAGGAGGCAATTCCAGTTGCTGATATCATTTCGGCTGTTGAGTCAAGAAAGCAAAATGGCCAGGTGACAGAGGAAAGTACTCTTGCGTATTGAACGGAGGCATGATAAAGTGAAGTGTTGAAACAGTTAATAAACCTCAATAACCTCTGTTGGTTTCTCATATTTCAATGATACAGAAGTTGCTGCTTCTTCTGCTCTTGCTGCTGGAAACTGATTCCACCGCACATTTATTTCTTAAATCTTGTCTCGTTTGTCAGGGAAATTTTCCCCCAACCCCCACATATGTCCCAATGCCTTTTGCCTCACCTATTTTACCTTTCCAAGAGACTTTACTACTCTTTTAGATTAGATTCTTCTTTTGTATGCGTGGATAATACAGTCAACAATCTCTGAGATAAAAGGTACTGATGAAACATTATTATAAAGTCCGAATAGCAGAAGTAGTTTCACTCAGTTCCGAGAAACAAGCTTCAGGCTCCGTCTTTATCCCTCACAAAGCGACTTGTTGCCCTACTAACATGCTCCCTGTAAATCTCTCAGTATGATTCCTTACTGAGTAACATCTCTGTTGTCCGGGTTTAAAGCTGTGTGTAAAAGTGTCACTGGATGTACATCCCAGCAGTTCCTAACCTTGTGACATGGTTTAATAGAGGTACTGTACATTTCAGGCTCTGGCATGTGTTCTTAATTCCCCACTGCTTAACTGCCTGTGAAAATCCCCACTTGACAAAAGCCAATGAAATATTACACTCTTTCCTTGAAATAAATACTGTGTAGAAAATGTAAACTGCACAAGCTGAATGGGGCGTAGAAGTCAAAAAAAACCAAAAGATTTTGACTTGGCATCGGAAAATCATCACTTTCCACAAAACATACTGCTTTTGACATATTGCATGAGAGGGCTGAAAGGCAGGCGACGGTTGACATGTTGCAGCCAGTTTGACCAGAGAAAAAAAAGAAAAAAGAAAAAAAAACAACAACCCTCTCTCCATTCATTGCTAGACCTACTTGAAATGTAAGCTTTGGAATCTATAAGAAGGATTTATAGCGGTCAAATGTGGAAACTAATCTAAAAATGAACATTTTTATCGGCATGATTCTCTAGATGCCAGACACAAATGTGTTTGTTAAGCGGAGGATTATAAACCCCCATATGGATTTTGTGGATTAAACAGACACGGGAATTAAAACAAAGCAGCAGAAGAGAAGTAAGTATGTATCACTTATGCATTTCTAAGCAGCTGAATTACACTGAACGGTATTGATTCATCTCTGTTTTCCACCTGTAACATGAATCCTCGACTGTAACAATTTTATTTTTTAATATTTATTTTATTTTTTCTTTGGCTACACTATTTAGGTTTTCTGTGGCTTTTCCATGCATGAAATTTCAGTTATTTCCCATTGCGGGCTTCAAGAAAGTTTTCTCTCTGAGGTATACACCCCCGACCCCACTCTTCCACCATCCTTAAGGATGATCTGCAGGTTACCTCAATGGTCGCCTCTGTTTCCACTCGTCAGTTTGAGAGATATTTGTGGTGCACAAAGTAAGCCTGTTGGGTCATTAAATGGGAAGTCAAATCTGAAGCAGTCATTTTTCAATGGCTCAAGGCACTATTTGGTGTGATGGCTTCAGTTTTCATTGCTTTGAAAATACATGTGCTAAACCTTATTGTACTCCCATGTACACTTTGCATGAGGATAAGACAAGTCTCAATATTTAATTCGGCCAAATAAGGAGGCAATTCCAGTTGCTGATATCATTTCGGCTGTTGAGTCAAGAAAGCAAAATGGCCAGGTGACAGAGGAAAGTACTCTTGCGTATTGAACGGAGGCATGATAAAGTGAAGTGTTGAAACAGTTAATAAACCTCAATAACCTCTGTTGGTTTCTCATATTTCAATGATACAGAAGTTGCTGCTTCTTCTGCTCTTGCTGCTGGAAACTGATTCCACCGCACATTTATTTCTTAAATCTTGTCTCGTTTGTCAGGGAAATTTTCCCCCAACCCCCACATATGTCCCAATGCCTTTTGCCTCACCTATTTTACCTTTCCAAGAGACTTTACTACTCTTTTAGATTAGATTCTTCTTTTGTATGCGTGGATAATACAGTCAACAATCTCTGAGATAAAAGGTACTGATGAAACATTATTATAAAGTCCGAATAGCAGAAGTAGTTTCACTCAGTTCCGAGAAACAAGCTTCAGGCTCCGTCTTTATCCCTCACAAAGCGACTTGTTGCCCTACTAACATGCTCCCTGTAAATCTCTCAGTATGATTCCTTACTGAGTAACATCTCTGTTGTCCGGGTTTAAAGCTGTGTGTTAAAGTGTCACTGGATGTACATCCCAGCAGTTCCTAACCTTGTGACATGGTTTAATAGAGGTACTGTACATTTCAGGCTCTGGCATGTGTTCTTAATTCCCCACTGCTTAACTGCCTGTGAAAATCCCCACTTGACAAAAGCCAATGAAATATTACACTCTTTCCTTGAAATAAATACTGTGTAGAAAATGTAAACTGCACAAGCTGAATGGGGCGTAGAAGTCAAAAAAAACCAAAAGATTTTGACTTGGCATCGGAAAATCATCACTTTCCACAAAACATACTGCTTTTGACATATTGCATGAGAGGGCTGAAAGGCAGGCGACGGTTGACATGTTGCAGCCAGTTTGACCAGAGAAAAAAAAGAAAAAAGAAAAAAAAACAACAACCCTCTCTCCATTCATTGCTAGACCTACTTGAAATGTAAGCTTTGGAATCTATAAGAAGGATTTATAGCGGTCAAATGTGGAAACTAATCTAAAAATGAACATTTTTATCGGCATGATTCTCTAGATGCCAGACACAAATGTGTTTGTTAAGCGGAGGATTATAAACCCCCATATGGATTTTGTGGATTAAACAGACACGGGAATTAAAACAAAGCAGCAGAAGAGAAGTAAGTATGTATCACTTATGCATTTCTAAGCAGCTGAATTACACTGAACGGTATTGATTCATCTCTGTTTTCAAGCTCAGTCGAGACATACAGGAACGATGTGGCCGATCGTATTTTTTTCCTTATGTCCGGAATGATCTAATCCCTCTGAGAAACTAGACACAAGCATGGAAACTAAAGTGCAGAACTGCAGATAATGTCAAGAGGCAACTTGTTTTTACAGCAAATGTTAAGAGCGGTGTAAACCGTGTCTGATGCGTTCCATATAAGTTGCAGGTCAGTGTAAACAGTGCACATCGCTAACACTGCTGGGATTCATTAGCTGTTCTCAGCTGGTGTTGCCACAATAACGGTGTCTTGATTCTTCATTCTGTCCGAAAGATGGGGGTTCATCCTTTATGTGGAGGATGTAGAAAATATATGGTAGCATACCATATGTTGTTTTCATACAACTGTCAAGCTGCATTGAAGTCAACTTTCGAAGTTTGGCAATGTATTGTGCTCCCATCAGCTAGCTTATACTTATTCAAGGAATATATATAGCACGGTATAGATAATTGTAACTTTCCACTTGTATGACAATACAGACCAGCTTTTCAGGCTTGAGTTGAAAAAAGTACCCAAAATAAATGTACAGTATAAATTTTATCTGCTTGCTTGCCTGAACTTTTGAGTCATGTCACATAATATTTATGGCGTGACTGGGGCTCAGGTGGTGGAACGAGTTGCCCAGTGACCAAAGCCTCACCGGTTCAGATCACTGCTCTGACTTTCCCTTGTTGAAGTCTTCTTGAACAAGGCGCTGAAGCTCAAGTTGCCTTAAAGTCAGCATTGCAAGGGAGAAATAGCATGATTGGGTTAAACAAAGACGAACTAAATACAGCTCTAAAAATGTATTATAGGTCTGACACATAGGCGTTAACTTTGATTAACTATATTCTAATGATGATGATGATGATTATCATCATTTTAATTTACACCTCTATGAAGCCACTATGAACCCCCTTACAGTTTCCATCCTTCTAAACACTGATTACATAAAATAAATTTAGCTTTTAAAATGCCAAAGAAGAGAAATCAGTGATTTTCACCACAATGGGGATTTACTTCTACAACAATTTTTAAGATGGCCGGTAAACTATCTTTCAAGACCATCTCTTGACAAATAAGGAATCCTAAATTTCAGTTTGCATTCCACTCTTGATATAGCTTGGAAGGCATCACAAAATATCTACATGCTTCGTTATTAGCTGCTCCAGCACGATACGTCATGCACTGTGGGAAGGTAAACTTGCCATGGACTATGAAGTCAAGGAGAGCATTTGTAACCTGGTCTCGACTTTTAAATGAAGTCAACATCTGATATAAGTATATATTATGATGCATTATTGTAGGTGGCAGTCATTGGATAATCTCATTTCATTTCATTCTCATTGCTCCAATGGCTAAATAAAGTGTTCCCTCGTTACATCATGGTTCGGTTATC